ACATTCTTAAAAAGTACTTTAAACTGTATAAATACAATTGAAAGTGATTGACCAATCAGAAGAAAGTTATCCTATATGGATACATCTATGTGCCCACCGTCTAAAATGAAAATTAATTTTAACGTTACACACACACAGATCGTTCATGTAAATTCGACGTGATGAACACTGATTGGATAAAAAGCGTGATTTCCAAATCGGGCGGTGGGCACATAGATGTACGTACGTACGCAGATGAACCCTATCGCGAAAGCATGTGACTAAAGATTGGCACAAAATTTTTTTAACTTCGACCAATGAAATCAAATGTTGTATTAAATAAAATTATTGTCGCATCATCAAATAAAACTTATCGCTTTATTTGAAATATAAAATGGTAAAGTATATTTATTCGAGTGTATTATCAAAATTTTTATCGAATTGCTAACAATTTTTTAATTGAAAAAGGATGCCAAGCAACAAGTTAAACTCGCTAAAGTTACAAAAGTACTTGGCCGCACAGGATCTCGTGGTGGTGTGACTCAAGTCCGAGTTGAATTTATGGACGATTCAACCCGCTCAATCATCCGTAACGTTAAAGGACCTGTTCGTGAAAACGACATCCTATGCCTTTTAGAGTCTGAGCGTGAGGCAAGACGTCTTCGTTAAACATTATGGGCACAAATCTGCAATAGAAAAAATAATTAAGAAAATCACGAAAAAAATAAAGCTTTTTTTTCATATAAATCAAGATGTCTTGATTGCTTTATAAAGCCATCACAGAATTTAAAAAAAGTTTTTTATTATTTTCATTATTTAACGAAGTATTTTTTTTATGAAGCAATAAAGTACAGAACTCGTTCCGTTTAAAAAAAATCAGTATATCACAATCTGTCTTTAAACAAATCCAATGTCCTTGATAATCGTCCACTATGTAATAAAATCCCTTTCGGTTCTAAAGCATAAAAAACCTCACTGTCTATAATATATCCCTTTTCGTTATACCACCAAATCCTCGCTGATGCTGAAATAGCCGATATCCTAAAAATGCGGCTCCCATTACTGCCCCCATCACAGCCGTAAATGTCAGATATCGCTTAATCCTAGATGCACAATGTGAAGCATTCGCAAGTCTTGGAGTAGCTATAGCTGGGTTTATAGATAACCCGGTTAATAGATTCCATAAATCTGCGGTTTGTTGTTTTTTTACTGATACACATAAAGGAACGGCGAGTCCCAAGCTGCGACAATAAACGTCTGGCTGAACCTCATGCCGCTAAACCGCAAAATATCAAACGTTATACAAAGTAATTAGTATGAATAAAGTATTATATATATATCACGAACCTGTTGAACTAAATCTAAGTCACTCTTGGTTGCAACAAATACGGTCGGGAAATCATCTAAATTATGCCGCTTCTAAGGAAATAAACAGGCCATTAGCAGATCTTAAAATAGTATATATAAATCTAGTATCAATAAGATATTCCATAAGTGAAGTAAGCTATAAAGAAATAGTATGTTTACCCTAAGCTCGACAATATATGAAAAGGATTCCGCATTGCTCGAATCGTATACAAAGCAAAGCAAATCACACATCTCTAATTTGCGCCTATTTTGAAATATTTCAACTTCAAAATTCGAACCGACCTCTTGCAGCTGAAAATTATCATATTAAGACTATTAAACGGGTTTAAATTTTCGTATGTAACAATGACAAACCATACCACCAAATATTTTTCTTCTCCTTTGATTTCTACAGAATTTACTAAACTAAAAGATCTTGTAGTCGGTGTATAGCCATCCGTAAAAGGTTTATTTACAAACGCTCTCAACAGCGACGTCTATGTAAATTAATAGTTCATCACATAGAATCACTCTAAGCACAAAGATATATATAATCAAACACGACCTTACCTTACCAGAACCTGCTGCACCGAAAACATATACCAAAAATACATTCCTCTGTACTTTATTTCGCTTTTTGTCTATCTTCTTTGGTTTTGTTTTTTTTAAAGCTGTTGTTGTATCGCCCTCAAATCCCAAATACGCTAAGTATGACAATGTCGTCTTGTGATCGAGAAGTGTTGTCATACTAATCGTTATTTTAAGAGGATTTTCATATAAATTTTTTTTTAAATCTAAATATTTGATCCACGATTGTTGATAAATTGCTTTGTTAAGCACAAATATATTTCAACTTACTCCTACCTCCATTGTGCCAGCCATCCTTGTAATGTAACTGCATCTGCCTCATTTGTGATTGTGGTGTGAGGAAATTCGGAATTTGTCCATGGGTTGCCAGGTGTTGTAGAGAAAAGTGATGCCAATTCGCTATCTTTCAACGCGCCATCTTTATCCTACATCAGGGAGAAATGGTAACAACGAACTACTGGAAAAACACAATAACCAGATAATGATTTGTGATCTATTTTATAAACCCACTTTGTCAAAAACTTGAAATATATCTGCAAAG